GCAGCGCAAACCCTAAACCCTAAACCCTAAACCCTAAACCCTAAACCCTAAACCCTAAACTCTAGTTCCGCGCTTACCGCCGCCAGCTGCGAGGGGCATCGGAGAGCGAAACAGAAAAGTGTTCTTCTCAGGAGAAGCGTCTACGAGGCGGACCATGTCCTCTGCAGCGCAAACCCTAAACCCTAAACCCTAAACCCTTAACCCCAAACCCTAAACCCTAGACAGTGAACTCTAAACCCTAAACGAGGGTTTACCTGAGAACGAGGAAGGGAAGCTGTAGGCGCTGCACTCGCCGCTTTCAGAGATGCTGCACTGTGGCGACAGCTCAGCCTTGACTGCACCGAAACACAAACCCTAAACCCTAAACCCTAAACCCTAAACCCTAAACCCTATATGGCGAATGTCCCGATGCGGTCCGGCGGGCCGCAGCCGCAGCAGCGAGAGACTTAAACCCTAGAGCAGCAGCAACAGCGTGCAGCTAGGGTTTAGGTTTGGCTAGGGCTTGGCTAGGGTTTAGCTAGGGTTTAGGATTTAGGGTTTAGGGTTTAGGGTTTAGTACGGGGGGTATAAGAATTGCTTCGGAAATGATAAAGGGCTCCCAAAACCCCCAAAAGAAATAAAAGACACAAAAGGGAAAACCCTTCTGTGCAGCGGCTGCGGCGCTGCTGCTCGCAGTCGCTGCCTGCAAACCCTCACAAACCCTAAACCCTAACCCCTAAACCCTAGCCCCCCACAAACCCTAAACCCTAGTGCCCCTGAGGACCAGCTGCAGCAGCTCATGCGCCACAAACCACCCCCAGAAGCCCCGCCCTGCACTCAAAGCAGCCCGCCCCACCCCAACCCCCAAGCCCTAAACCCTAAACCCTAAACCCTAAACCCTAAACCCTCGCGCGCACCTTCGTAGGCCACGCCGTAGCCCGCAGGGTCCCCGCCATGCAGCGCAGGCCAGGGGGCCCCCGGGGCCCCCGAGGGGCCCCAGGGGGCCCCGGGGGCCCCCGGGGTCCCGGGGGCCC